CAAATAAATAAATAAAAAAATTTATTGAATTGCAATTTTCTGATATTTTATTAACTTGTATTGAAAAGTATACCTCGCTAAATGAGTACTCGATTTAACGAAAAATTCGATATAATGAACTGGCCCTACAATTAATGTGTTCGTTATTTCGGAATACTGCATTTTAAAACAGATATAATTATAATACACTGTGTTAGCGCCGTTTGCGTTTATATTCCTGAGATACACATATACATAGTATGTGTATATTTTTAAAATAAATTAACTTTAAAAATTTCTCTTGAAATTGAAACTTTACTTATTTTTTCAGGTTGACGTAAATGGCTCCGGTGCAGCCCCACTTTACCAATTCTTGAAGCACAAGAAAACTGGCACACTCGGTAGCTCCATCAAGTGGAATTTCACCAAATTCCTTGTAAACAAGGACGGTGTACCTGTGAACCGTTATTCTCCCACAACCGATCCAATGGATATTGCAAAAGATATTGAAAAGTTACTCTAAGTTCAAGTCGATTGTATCGAAACTAACTTTGATTATTAATCAAACTCAACTTATTTCAAATAAGTAAAAAAAAACATATGCATTAATCTACATTTATAACCAACACAGACTTTTAGTTTTTGCTTATGCTATTTCTGTGTTGCAATTGTTGTCTAAACCAGTGATTTAGAAAAGTTTGTCATTCATTTTTATTTAATTGAATTGCAAATAAAAATAAATTATCAAAAAGAAATAAACAAAATACATTTTTTAACTCAGAAAATCAGGTATTTTAACGGTCTACAATATACTTTATATGCAAACCACATTTCCGAAATAATCGTATTATAATGCTTGTTTCAGAGGTGCTCGTCTGTGTGTTTTATTGTTTGGCTTGCGCCACCGAATATATAGTGCAGAGCAGTAACAGTAAACGCATACAAAAGTGCATCACGTACTTCCAAACATGCAGACACACACAAATACCTCATGCACATTGTTATGAATGTACACTAAAGTGACTAACATTAACCTTTCGCATCAAACTAATGTAATTTATTACGGGGAATGCTACCAATTTTAGAGTGCCCTTTGATATTTTTGATTTTGTGTATTTTTGGCATAATTTGCAAAACCATTAATTTGAATTCAAAAGAATAAGATAACGCAAATAAATCCTGCGACAATTATAACTGTTGGGCCAATGTCATTAAAATACATATGTATGTATTTATGTACCGATATGTTTAAGTATATGTATTTGTTTCATGTTCACACTCAATGGTTGAAGTATACCTAAATTATTTTTGAGTCGTTTATAGTTGTAGACCCCTAATACATTTTATTTAACATGTACTGCATTATATTTGAATGCGTGATATTTTTAACGTCGGTTCCCGTGCCAACTGGGCCCCTTCGAGTTACCGGCAGAGATAAGCACATGCTTGTATTTGAATGAATGGCCACTTTTGGAATACCTTTTGGCACTGACGGCATTCGTTCACTCGTAAAAAACTTTCTCGATCGTTCTAACACTGGGATGTCCTTAGCTTTTCGCGAAGGACAGCTTTTTGTATTGCTGATCTTCGGCTACTCCAAGAAAGATTAATCCTGGCTCATCCAACACCGGGTGAGGTTATTATGTTCGTACCGAAAATAACTGCTTTTCTTATAATTTCAACTTAAGGGCGCTCATATAATGCTACTAAAATTGTGAAAACCGTCAAAAGAATAACGTCAAAATTCGGTTGAACCAAAGGGGTGACATAGCCTTATACATACATCACAAACAATGTGATAAAATTTAATAATATTTTGTGAGTTTTACACGTAGCTAATGTCCAATTACCAAAGTTTGAAGGATATTTCGAATTACAACAAAAAACAGAAATGCCTGTGAGATATTGATATTGAATGAAAACTTTGATAAATTTAATTTTTGTTTATTGTAAGCTTGGACATATGAACATAAGTATATCTACAAATATTTAAAACTTAGTGATATATTAATTTGTGCGTTTATCTTATATTAGATTTATTTTCTTCTTTTCTATAGTAAAATATTATTAATAAATTAGTTTAAGCGCCGTTTTAAAAGGCCTATTCATGTACTCAGAGTCCCTTTCATACACATAGAAGGCTTTTGTTGTTAAATTTTTATCTCGTCTGCAATAGGATACACATCATACCTACGCGGCATCTATTATTGAATAACATTCGATCGAATAGACCACGTCCAGTACGTAGTGAAGAAAGTAAAGCAGCCGTAGCTAAGAGTGTACACGAAGACCGTGGAGAGTGGATACGGCGCCGTTCGCAACAACTCGGACTGATGTTTGGAACGTATGGAAGAGCAACCTAAAGAGATACAAGATCTGCCATTTCATGCAGACAAAACAACGTTTTGTGGACCGGTGGAATAATCGTCCATATTTCTTCAAAAATGTTGCCGGTGAGAAAGTAACCGCACATTGGGCCCTTATACGCACCATGTTAACCAACTATTTGATGTCTAAAATTGAAGTGCTTGATCTCGGCGGCATTTGGTTTTAACAAGACGGCGCCACTTCCACAAACATCGCATAAATCATTGGATTTATTGAGAGAACACAGATACTATATATGTATCAGGTTTTGGGCCGATCACCAAGATCGTGTGATATCACACCGTTAGACTTTTTTCTGTAGGGACATGTTAGGTCTTACGTCTATGCGAACAATTCCGCTTCGATTCATTCTTGTCATACCGCGAATTGTTTAAACGAGCCATCAAAAATTGTAATTAACGTATGCATCATCTGAGACGTAGCCGCGGCCATCATTTGAAAGAGATGATCTTTAAAAAACAAATGCAAAAGAAAGTTGTCTTGAATGATAATAAACATTCTCCATTAAATTTAAAAAAATACCGAACCTCGAAATGGATATTGCTTGCAAATTGTTCACGTCGATTTCATCAAATTGCAGAAGTGCTAAAACACTCGCTATTGATGGTAACGGTATTTCCTGTCTAATTTCCAAAGAAATAAGGCCCGATCCGCATTCGTACTACAATCCGTAACAAACGGTGAATTTATGGGTATGCTATTGCATTTCTTGACTACCATGAAAATTCGACACAATCCAATAGCGACAATTTTATTTGTTGACTAAGCCATTAAGCCAGCAATGGCGTCATCTGCGATCGTCGTGGTTTGGACGAGCATCTCTTACAGTAACCATCGGAGAACGCCGCTACAAGCTGTCAAAATTACGTCACTACTATTGGTAGAAGTTGTACATCCACTTTATTCGCAAAAACAAAAAAAGAAAATTATGATTTTGGTGAGGAGTCAAGGGTGAATACGGTGTTTGGTTGTTGTAGACTAATTAGATCACTTTGGAAGGAGGAAGAGGAAGATGTTCACTCCTTTGGAAAGACCAGGTGGAGAAGGACCTATACTTGGAATCTCCAATTAAAACCAAACTACGAAAAGGAAGAACGACTGACGCGCTGTTGTAAACTTGGCTGTAACGAAATAAAGACATCGGTCTGCGCCAATTAAGAAGGAGGAGATATCATCTGAAATGTCTACTGTTGCAACAATGTCGCGTAAATTCATGATTGCCGAATGGCTCGTTATAAAACGATGTGCGATCCTATTGAAACTTCTTAAGCCAATAAGCAGAATGCCCACATACAAACTCGTCCGCTTACAAATGTGCTCAAGACAAAAAAATCAAATTTTTTGATATTAACAAATTTTTCGGCAACATTATTACAGCATCAAAAGAAAATATTAGCAACATTAAAAAAATTTACAACCAAAAATGTCAAGAAATTGTTAAACTTTTTTCAAATGCAAGTTCGCACGCCAACTAGTTCTAGTTCAATGAACAATCAACAAAATAAGCACAACAACTGCGAATTTGGATATTTTCAAGTTTAACGTAAAGATCACAAGTTTTTCTACTCAGCTGTAGCAAAAAATTGACCTTCCGACAATTAGCCAAATATGCATGCCTGCCACCATTTCTGGGAGCATAGCTGTCGCTGCAAATGCTTTGCCACAAAGCGGCGCGGTCTTACCCTTTTCGTACATTTTCACGCTTCTTCTGTCACCGTTAAGGCGCTTACAACATTGACAACCGTGTGTGCAGGCCGAAAATAGTAATTAGAATTTCGGTAGCGTTGTGTTTGTTCGATTAAGCCGAGCGTGTCAGCAAAGTAGGTGGCACACATGCGTATTGCATAATATCGAACAGAAAATAGTACATCATAAATCAATCTGAACAGCAACGATGCGCCTACTTCGGTGAGCAAGTGTGCGGACTTCAGTTTTGACGCGTAAGCAATGAATTCGAAGCATTGGAGATTCCTTGTGTAGCGCTTAAGGTGACATTCTGATTTGCTGACACACTCGACGAACACCTCGCAGGCATAACTGGGTTAAAGACAATGCATTTCTTCACGATCACGCCGCGCATGTCTATAGACGGCGAGTAATGTAAATAACAGCATGATCACGCTGTTCAACAGGTCTGGTATGGTTGTTGTCAGCTATCGTGTGTGTTCGACATCCCCTGGCGCGGAGATTCGCCTGAGTGCTAACAGTATCGCCCAGTTGCCGGCCGGTATATGACTCGGCTGCTGCTTTGATAGACATGATACAACCAAACGATGAAGATCAATCGCTTGATTATTGACGATCGGTAGTGTGATGTGCCGACTGTTAGTAAACAATTGTTTTTGCTTTGCTTACGTGCTAACAAAGTTGCAAATATATGGTATGTTTGTGTGCAGTTGTGTTTTAGAGTGATTTTCTAAAAATCGATTGAAATTGAATTCCATACGAATTTGTGTATTGACACATTGAAAATGCCCAAAATAGTTTGTACTTACGAGTATTGGCCTGTAACAAGCGATCGCAGTGTGACACTGCGAATCGGCCGTGCGTTTTATTACAAGCTCATCGCGTTGCATAGCATATAAAACAGCGCCAGCCCAAACATTCGAAGTTCACTCAGCTGTGGCCAGCAATACAAATCGGTAACGCATCGGTCAACGATTGTGAACGCGTACACTTTCGAGAAAACGAAAACAGTTATTGTTTGTTTAGCCGCGATAAAGGATAACCACCACGATGAGAACGATATTTGTGCTGTTGCTGTGTGTTGGCACAGCTTTTACGGCCACTCATGTTAATATCTCGATTGCTCAGCACCCGGCCACGAACCCGGCTGACGTCACCTATTTGGAGGGTACCGCACCGGAGGAATTGAAAGCAGGTCCAGCTAAGAAGCCCAGTGGAGAGGAACGCTTCGCCAGGTTACGCGCTGCAGATGAGAACGATAATGCAGAAAAGGTTCAGGTGAAAAGTGAGCAAAAACAAGAGCAGGGTTCGAGTTCCGTTGGTAATTCGAAACCCGCCCAACAAGTTCAACAGAGTGCCGAACAATCGAACGGCTTTAGATCACAGCAACAACAACGGTTTTATGGGCGTATACGCCAACAGAATCGGCATAGTCAATTTCGTCAAGCCAATGCGCAGGATAAACAGAATCAGGAGTTCGAGCGTTATATACAGAACTATCACAGTGGACCGACAGTAGAAACGGTAAGTTGAAGTATTTGCAGTTTGCGAGAACTTTATAAAAATAATTAGAAAACCGAGACGTATTTGTTTTGAGTAAAAAGTTTGTTCGTCCACGTTTAAACTAATCTCCTTCTTTATTAACGTAGACACCGCTTAAGCGGTTATATCCGAATTTATAACAGCGCGCCAGTCGTTTCTTCTTTTCGCTGTTTGGCGCCAATTGGAATTTCCAAGAGTAGTCAGGTCCATCTTCAACTGATCTTTCCAACGGAGTGGAGGTCTTCCTCTTCCTCTGCTTCCCCGGCGGCTACTGCGTCGAATACTTTCATCCATTCGGTCGACATAACCTAGCCAGCGTAGCCATTGTTAAAATTAAGGGGAAAAACTGCTTACTGACTGCTTTAGGGGAAAGTTTGGTTGTAGAGCTTTAGAAAAGTCAAAGTGGTTCCGATCTCTTCAGAGGGTCAGGTAGATTTCTTAAAAACTGCTAAAACTGTAATCCTAAACACTAAAACTATAATCCTAGAATTTAAAAAATTGCTTCACAATTTCGCCTTATTGTTTATAAAACAAGTTTTTCACACATTCCGAAATATTTCAGCGCCTAATGTTCATCAATACCCGAACTAAGGTTTCTATTACTTGTATTATCTAATTATATATTAATGCTTTAGGTATTCGAAACAGCCGATCACTCGCCATCTGGACGTTATGAGCATTCATCATCCTCCTCGTCTTCGACTGGTCCTGCGCGACTTGTCGCTCTCGATACAAAACCTTCACAGCAACACACCTTTGAAAGGCAAATTGCACTTCCCGCTGCTGTAGCTGCATCAGCTTCAGCTGCAGCATCTGTAGACGATCAATCGAAATCAGCGCCCGACGCAAAGATCCAAATATCCCCAGCACCAGTATCGGCGCAACCAGCGGTAGCCGCTCCTGCAGCTGTACATGCATCAGCACCAGCTGTTGTGCCAACTGGGCCTTCAAAAACAGTTACTACTGTACACAGTAGCAATAGTGACGGTGGCAAAATAAATCTGGGAGGTGCTTTTGGTAATAGTTTTGGCAGTGCTGGCAGCGGTTCTCATGGTGTGACATTTAGAGTTGCTGGTGGTGGTGGATATAGTCCACCAAATTACGACCAAACTCCCAGCTATGCTAAGCCGGATTATGGACAACCCAGCTTTAGTTATGATCATGGAGATGCCGGTGGTTTTCTAAACGAGTATCCACCATCTGTAGATGAGCCCGTAGGTGGTTATGATGGCTTTTATGGCAACCAAGAACATGACTATCATTCGAATGGTGGTTACTTGCCTGTAAACCCAAATGTGTATCAACGACCAGTAGTCACCAAAACTATACAAATTGCCCAACCAGCGCTGAAAGCTAAAAAATTCGAAGTACGACATCCAGCTATCCAAAAGGAATTTTACGATATCGAAGAACGAGTTGTGATTAAACCGGCTGGCACGATAGTTGTTGAGCTGGAGCATCCTGTTGCGAAAATTCCGAAAGGTGAGACAGTGCTACCCCTCGGTCATCCTCATCCAGCTATTGCTGCTCAATATAATATTAATAGTGATACAGACATTGAGACGGAATCATCCAGCGCGGGTTCTTATAACAACGGCGTGCGCTCAAACTCGAATCAAGTCTATGCAGGTGCTGCTAGAAAAAATCCCGCCCCTGTTATTAGTGGAACAAATATTGCATCAACAGTTACCGCTACACCAACTAATAATCCAAATGCCAAACGTGATTTTGTGGAAGCAAATCTGCGAAAACAATATGGTGAGGAGGCGAAACTCATAGCTCCTGCTGATGCTGCGCTCGGAGAGCAAAATTCACGAGGTAGAAACTTTTATATACCTGCTGAAAGTCACGACAGTCAGCGTCAAGTACCTAACAGGAATTTCTCGCCAAACACATTTAGACGAGATGAAAGCAACTACCAACGTCCAGCTCGTGTTGAAGCTCAGCAAAGCGGGCAAGTATACCAACCAAGGTATACTAAAAACGAAGAAAAATCTTTGAAAAACACATCACCCGAGGTGACAAATGACTTTAACAACGATGACGATGAATATAAGGGTGAGTACATAACAGGTAATTTCTACAGTGCCAGCAAAGACCCTAAACCTGCGCGTTTACAAGAGGAACCCGCAAAGAGTGAACGTATTACAGCCGAGCCTCAGACACGTATCATAAAGCATGAGCACACAATTAAATTACCACCCTCTCAGCATAATATTTACTTGGCGCCTAGTCGGTTTGAAGAACGTCCAGTACTTGTACAGGCACAACGTAAGCAAGCACCATCAGCAGAACAGCAACCTGCACACTTAGAAGAAGAACCAGCGCGCGTGAGTGAAGTTAAATCGTTCTTGAATCGCCAGCGTGACGGTGTAGTTGTATATGCTGTTCCAGCGCGTCGCCCAGTGCCCGCACAGCAGCGTTATGTTGTACCACAACGCACGTACGAACAATTACGTTACGATCCCGATACCGATGTTGCTTCAGCAGCAGTAGAATACAGTGCTCCTTACTCACATATGCGATACGATCCAAATGAATCTGCACGTCTTACCGCAGATGTGGAATATCAACGTGGCTCAAACGCGAAAGTTCCTCAAAGAACCATCACAGTACACTATAATCGTGGCCCCGAGTCTAATGCACGCCTCACAGCACTAAATAAGTCAGAAACTGTGTCAAATGAGCCCGCCAAATTAGCGGAAAGTAATGAGGACGTGAAGCCGAAACCCGAGGAAATACGCCCACTTGCACATATTCAATTACAAGTGCCATATGGTCCGCAAGAAGCCGATGAGCCCATTAGAGTTATGTCTTCAATTAACCCGCCCAAGCAACGTAGTCGCAATGCCAAAGTTAGTCAGCCCGAAGCTAAAAAAGCAGCTGACGAACAAGTTGAGGATGTAAATAGCGAATCGGCTCCTAATCCAAGTGCTAAACAAGATGTAGATGTTTTGCATTCGGAAAATATCGAGTCACAACCCGACTGTGCTCAGAATGCAGAAAAAGTAAGCGCACGTTATGAAAACCCACAACCAAGTGACAACGAAAACGTGCAGTATGTTGCAGAGCCTCAAAACCGAGTACAAATTAAGTCTCAACGTCTGATAGACACTAGTAACTCAAACGCTAACAACAAGGAAAATGTCAAAACGGCGCCCTCCGATGCGGAAAGTATTGACAACAATGGAAAAGATGCAAGTTCTCAAGCAACGCCCCCGGGCTCACGTGTAATTGCCGCTAATCCAGCGCCAAATGATGCCTCCGCAACAAGTGAAAGCTTCCACAAACGTCGCATTGTGGTAAACCATCCTTTCCAAACTGTGCGCGAAGTCGTCGAACATGAGCCCATTACAAACTATCATCAAATACAAGTGCATGAACGCGCCTCACCAACCTCGGCCTACAATAAGGCGCCCTACTTTGCACCCAATGGGCAACTGCGTCAATTCGAGATGGTGCGTGTTCCGGTTATGTACCATCACCCAAACGGTGCTACGCACGGCAATTTAGTTTACGCTTTGCCTGATGCTATTCCCGTGCACGAAGACAACGGCGAAGTAGAGCCGAGCTATCAGCAAAGACGACAGCGTGTACGCGCCTAAATCCGTCGCTTATTTATCAGTACATTTGATGTGGCTAATTGTTGTTGTTATTGCAGTGCTTGTTGTTGCCATTAATTAAGGACACTATGCTTACAAACATATACTTAATCAAATATGAATACTCGTATTTTATATTAGAAATATGATATGGTTTTAACCGATTCCACTAAGGTTGAAGGGTTAACTTAAAGCTTACACTAATGATTGCCAGACAGTGTACATACGCTGTCCTTAATTTAAGTTTCTAAACTCCATGTATAAGTTGTCGAATAAACATTCAAATACGAATGACGAAAAAATGTTTTTTACTTTTTAATTGTAAGTGTTGACGAAAGGAATACAATGCAGTGAAGAAGACGGAAGTCGGTTATTAGATTCTTTACTTTGAAATTATGCAGTGAATTCAATGGTGAGGTCAAAAAATTGTTTCCAGAAACCACACATCCCTTTTCGATAAGCCTTCCTGGTGTTACGCAATGAAATGAAAAATGGAGAATAGAGCAGACCACCTATTGAATGTACACAGGAAAACTAATACCATCTTCTCCTTATTGGCGTAGAAAGCGCTTACGTGGTTATAGCCGAGTTTACAATCGCGCTCCCATCATTCTTTCATTATGTAGATTGGCCCCAATTGGAGATTCCACGTTAAGCCAGGTCCTTCTCCACCTGGTCTCTCCAACCGAGTGGTTGTCTTCCTCTTCCTCTGCTTCCAACGGCGGGTATTGCGTCGAATACTCTCAGAGCTTGAGTGTTAGGACGACATGACCAAACCAACTTAGCACTTGTCTCTTAATTTGCTGAACTATGTTAAAGCCGTCGTATATCTCGTACCAAGGACCATAAATGTTCCGCAGAGCTGTCTTTTGAATACTCCTAAGGCCGACTCATAAAATACTGTCGTCGTTCATGGTTCTGCACCATATGGCTGGACGGGAATAATGAGTGTCTTATATATTATGGTCTTTGTTCTTCGGGGGAAGGCTCAATTGCCTACTCAGTCTGAGGTAGCACCTGTTGGCAAGAGTTATTCTGCGTTAAATTTCGAGGCTGACATTACGTGACATGGGAGCAAAATCGCGACTCGTTTACTACCAGACCCATTTGCTTCGCTTTCTTATGCAGTCTGGAACTAGCGGCGCGGAAGTTGAGCCCATTGATGTACACTCTTGTAAAAGATTGTGAATTCTCGTTTAAGCTCTGCAGTTCGAATTATTTTCTCCAGCTGTAGATTGTAGAAGTCCCACGAAATGGAGTCGAATTGTCTGAAACACAATCTTTCACACAATACGCTCGATCGAACATTATATGCGAAGGTGCGAAGGCTTATCTCACAGTAGTTAACACAGATTATGGGGTTTCCCTTTTTCTGGAGTGGACAGAGAACACTTGAATTCCAATCGTCGGGAATGGTTTCGTCCGACAATATTCTTCAATGAAGCTGATGCAGGCTTTGTACTAATTCTTCGCCGCCATATTTGAATAGCTCGGCTGGCAGTCCATCGGCCCCCGAACCTTTGGTGTTCTTTAGACGAGTAATTGCTACTCGAATTTCTTCATGATGAGGCAATGGAACGTAAGCGATTGGGGAATCAGGTTCACCATTTCATGGTGTTATGCTTTCATTTCCCTTTATCATGTTGAAGAAGTTTTCACTCCATAGTTTTAATATCCTCTGGGTATCTGTTACTAGATCTGCTCTGGGAGTTCTACGAGAGTATGCTCCGGTCTTAAAACCTATAATTAATACTATAGGTGTCTCAAAATTACTGAATATTGGGCATGAAATACTGAAATTGATAACACTGGCGGGTAGATGAGTGTCACGTTGGTGTACTCGACAATGCAGGAACACACTGGTACACACCAGAAACCAAGGGTATAGTGGACTATATAGTGAACTTATCCCGGAGAACTTTCCCCGAAGAAGACGGCTTTCGGTCTTAATGATTGGAAAAATGCTCAAAATGATTAGAAAGATGTGCTCTTTGGATATACCTGTAAAATGGTTTCAGGCTTCTATTATGGCAAATAATTTAGGCGATATCGAACTGCAGCAATAGACGTAGAACAATGTGCTCGTCCACCATAATAACTTTTCGACTGAAAAAAAGTTGCAGACCTCCAGCAAACGTATTTTCAGGCGATTCAAAGAAGTTAGCGCATTTCTGGGTCGAACTGAAAGGGGACTGTGTTGAGTAGTAATTCCTGATTTTTATCGATTTTTTAGTTTTTGTTTTGTAGCATAAGTAGAGATCTTCGATTCGCCACCTATTTGCTCGTTATGTTTGAACTCTATTTCATGTTATAATATATGAACTTTGTAGCTCACTCGATATAACGACATCACTTTTAGAATAATGGAAACACAGTAAAGACCATACTTACATACAATAAAGGAATCATGAAAAAATCACGCATACGCACTGACGCCCTGTAGACGCCTCCTAATTGTATGCCAATATTTCAAATGTTCAATTCATATAATTGCATAAACAGGATCTAGCAAGACATTTACTATTACTATTTATTTTACTATACATTTTATTAATAATTATTATTTTTTAGTTTCATATACCGTAATTTATTAATTCTAACAATAAATACTCTTTTCAATAACTTACGGCTACATACAAAGATATGAGCACAATAAAATATAATTAGATGAGAATAATTGGCAAGAGATTAACAACAAAAACAAAACTGAGCTAGGCAAAACATTTCATTCTAAATTGAGCAAATGCTTAATAAATTTACAAAAAAGTGTCCTTTACGCCCAACCGGCATTGTGGAAGATTTTATAAATTTGATTACGATCGATTTTTTCTGCTTCTCGATCGATTACGGCCATCTCTTTGGGTGTCAGAAGTGATTCTTTGGCAAGCGCAGCGGCGATGCGAGGATTGCTATAAAAGCGCCGACTCTTCGACAATTCGGGTGGTAATAGTGACTCCCGCTCAGCATTGGCTACAACTGAGGGATGCGGGGGACCCTCCTGATTGGGCTCAGATATTGGTTTGAAATCTGGCGGTGAAGTTCTATATTGTAGGTATTGATGTTGTTGATAGGGCAGTGGCACTGGTTGATGGAAATAAAATTGCGCGCTGCATGAGATTGTGAAGAGCGAGAGGCAAAACAAGACTGAATGCATTTTCCTGAAAATATAAATTTTATATTTTTTACATTAATTCAACCATAACGTCAAAAACTATGTGTTTATTTTTTAATGTGATTTTACACGATGTGACCAAATATTCCTTCTATAAGCGTTTGCAGCGCACCTATGAGAACTGCCCCCGTCACGATATCAAAATCGTGCTTGGCGACTTTAACGCTTGGTTGGTCAAAGAAGGTATCCTCGATGAAACATCCCCAAATGGGTTGAGGCTGATCGACTTCGCCGGGGCCCGAAGTATGGTTATCTTTAGTACTAGATTCCAGTATAAGAAAATACATCAAGATACCTGGCTGTCTCCGGATCGAAAAGCCACCAACTAGATCGATCATTTTGTGATAGACGGAAGACACGTCTCCAGTGTTTTAGACGTGCGTGCGCTCCGACGTCCTAACATAGACTCGGACAACTATCTTGTTGCAGCCAAGATTCGTACGCGCCTCTGTGCAGCAAAAAACGCACGTCAACAAACACAAGCAAGGTTGCGAGCACTTGTCAACAACTCGGTATAARGGAACTGTGGGACGGCATTTCAAACTCCTTACGTACAGCTGCAACCGAAACCATTGGTTTTCGAAAAATGCAAAAGAACTGCTGTTAAGACGAGGAATGCCGTGTCGTAGAGGAGAAAAAGCAGACTGCCTACCTCGCAACGTTACGATCGACCACAACACGCGCGGCAAGGGATAGATACCGAGAATTAAAGAGGGAAGCCAGACGCATTTTCAGACAGAAAAAGAAAGAGGCCGAAATGGCGTGAGTATGATGAGCTTAATAAGCTGGCCGATGGACCGGAGCATACTCTTGTAGAACCTCCAAAGGTGATCTAGTCACCGATGCCCAGAGCACACTTAAATTATGGAGGGAACACTTCTCCAGCCTGCTGAATGGTAGTGAACGCACAACGCCAGGAGAAGGTRAACCCGATTCCCCAATCGATGACGATGGAACTAATGTTCCATTGCCCCACCATGAAGAAATTCGAATAGCACTTACCCGCCTTAAGAACACCGAAGCGGCGGGGGCCGATGGATTCCCGGCCGGGCTATTTAAACACGGCGGCGAAAAACAGATACTGAGAATGCATCAGCTCTTTGCAAAATATGGTCGAACGTAGGCATTTGAAAAGGGAGACCGCACAATCTGCGCCAACTACCGTGGGATAAGTCTCCTCAATATCGCGTATAAGGTTCTATCGAGCGTATTGTGTGAAATATTAAAGCCCAGATATTCACCATGTACCAAATCTTGGAAAAGACCCGTGAAAGGAGAATCGACATACACCAACTTTTCGTCGATTTCAAAGCTGCTTTCGACAGCACGAAAAGGAGCTGCTTCTTTGCCGCTATGTCTGAATTTGGTATCCCCGCAAAACTAATACGGCTGTGTAAATTGACGTTGAACAACACCAAAAGCTTCCTCAGGGTCGGGAAGGACCTCTCCGAGCCGTTCGATACCAAACGAGGTTTCAGATAAGGAGACTCCTATCGTGCGACTTCTTCAATCTGCTATTAGAGAAAACAATTCGAGCTGCAGAACTTAATCGACCAGGTACAATCATTTATAAGAGTGTACAGCTACTGGCGTATGCCGATGATATTGATATCATCGACCTCAACACTCGCGCCGTTAGTTCTGCTTTCTCCAGACTGGACAAGGAAGTAAAGCAAATGGTTTTGGCAGTGAAAGAGGGTAAGACGAAATATCTCCCGTCATCAAACAAACAGGCGTCGCACTCGCGACTTGACTCCCATGTCACTGTTGACAGTCATAACTTTGAAGTTGTAGATAGTTTCATATATTTGAGAACCAGCATAAACACCACCAACCATGCCAGCCTGGAAATTCAACGCAAAATAACTCTTGCTACTTCGGACTGGGTAGGCAATTGAAAAGTAAATTAAAAAGAGACCTTAAATCTTTTACGCATTACTGCTATCCTAGAGATCGAAGGTGCTACAAATGTTTCATCGGCTCGAACGTTAGATAGATTTTATCATAAGTTTCAATTTACTCGATTTCAATATTCTCAATATTATTACTTGTCAAAGAGCAACAACTCAACCAAACATCACTTTTCATAAGTCTATAGGAGAAAGGAAAATTATTCATAAAAAGCTTCCGGTAATTGTAATTAAATTTCTCTGAATGATATTTAAAATCATGGATTTTAGCAAAATTGTTTGATTAATTAGTATGCCAAATATAATATGTGCGCGATCTGTTTACCAGTTTGTATACAGCAGCTGCTTAAGTCGGTACACCTCAGTAGTGCATAGCGATTTTTACAATAGATACAAATATCGAACAAAGAATGTGTCCTAAAATTTATATTTCTAACCAAATTAGATGTGCGAAATTATTACAGTGTTGGAAAAGACTTACTGAGATTCAGTTCTACCAAAAACAAAAGCATACGAGTGGTACAAAGCCTTCAAGAGAGAGTTGAAGACATATCTCGCTCTGGGCGATCTTCGGTCTCTTCAACTGATCAAAATATTAAAATGCGAAGAAAATAACGTTTGAAAATATTCAGATAAGTGACAAGATAGCTCAACATCTTCCGGCAGTCCGTTGATTTTGGTGGATATTTCGGGATTGAAGCGCGTTCTTGCTCGACTCGTCTCTATAAAGGGCTATTTTTTTTCAAAAAGAGTACCGTAAATAAGTTTCTTTGGACCTGCTTGATGGTGCGAATTTCGATTTCACATTAACGGATAGAATTATAACTGCCGATGTGACAATGGCTTATAAATTTGACATGCATACAAGTCAACGATCATCGCAATGGAAGAAAAAAGACGAGCCGAAATCAAAAACACCACGCCAAAGCCACCTAAAAATATTGTGGTTTAGTGCACGAATTTGTTCGGAGGGACAATTGGCCAATAAGGAGTTATATTTGGATGTATTGAGACGTTTGTGTGAGAATATCGGTCGAAAACGGCCGAAATTGATGACGAACAATTTTTGGATTTTTCACGATGTTAAGACATCATCGAATCGATCTACGATTTTGACCGAATTTAAAGCCAAAAACGCAATGAATACTATCGATCAACTACCGTATGCACCAGATTTGGCTCAGTGTGATTTTTTCATGTTCCCCTAACTGAAATTGCCGTTCCGTGGAACGAAGATATTTTGCGTTTTATTTACAATTTATGGGTACTTTTTTGTCACATATGAACTTTTCCGCCGACAAAAAGAAACTGATTTCTTCTTTGGTAATATTATCTTGCATTATTAATTTACTTATCTATGGCATTATAGATCTGTACAAAGTATTTAGACAAATTTTCACTCTTTTCGATAACTTCGCTTGTACGATCCTATCATAGAAAAAATCCTTTCAGAAACTGTGTTTTGTCAGTTGAACAACCGAAGCTAAAAGTCTCATAAGAGACATTTGTATTTATTTAAAATTTTTTTAAAAAGATTGGCGCATCTTATTATTAATTGTATCACTTTTTCACACTCTATTGTAATGTAAATACATAAATGTTTATATTTTTATATTATTTTCACTTTCATACAATTTTATAAAGGCACTTTATTGATTGTTTCATGTTGTTCCATGTTCCTTTCTTAATATTTTACTTTAATTAATATTACTAAAAGATCCTTTTTCAGTGCACCCACAATGAGACTTACATCATTTTCGAAATGTTATTATGATAACTTCTGTATATCTTTAATAATAATTAAATTTGTTTACACATCCACAACAAGACAGACGAACAGTTGATACAAGATAAACGACGTTCCAGCTGCAACTGATTTTAGAATTACTTTGAAACGATCTTTTATGTTGAATGAGTTTGAAAATTGTGCGCAAAACAAAGTCCAAAATCAAAATGAAATACCAAAACAAATAGAAAAATGTAAACAAAGATTTGTGCAATTTAAGTACAATAAGAACATACACAATGCGCTGTGGCGGCGTGTGCTATTAGCATATAGCGATTCGCTCCGGGCCAACAATGAGTAATAACAAAAACAATAAAGCTTACTGAAATTGAAAGCTTTTGCGCATGCACATGTGCAACAATCTATGAACAGGAGGCAATATGTAGTAGCAATAGTACAACAAAAACTACAAGCAGCGAGATCAACGACGGTTGTACTCTGAGCAGCAGTAGCAACAGAGGCGGCAATAGGCGGTAACCTGGTAGCCAGATTGCCAACAACCGGATGGGGGTTATGAATGATTGTGGCGTTATGTGAGCGCTTGTAGTTGGTGGATGACGTCCCAGAGAAGTGAACGCAACGCCTAATAGGGATATACCGTGGTTATATAATATCTTAATTGCAAGTACAACACTGGTAGCAGAGTTAAAGAATCATATACATCTAAATTTGTTTACACACATACATGCTTACAGTAGACAAATTAGGTGTCAAACGTGTTCGTGGTGAACTTGAAATAATTCTTAAATCAAAAATACATGATTACGTGCACATTTACCACTTTTAAACATTTGTGCTCAATCGAATTGTATTATGTGAATAATTAGCATTCGTTTTGCTTTGAAAAGCATTTTTTCAAATTTCTTGCCTTTTTTTAATATTTATCAAAATAACTCCTTTCTCTGAAAATCCTCTGTGTGACCTTTTTCAAAGGTAAGCATATTTTCGATTGACTCAAGTCGCATTTGAAAGTTTGTACGAGCAATTAAACGCAGGCAGCTGATCAGCAGCTGTTACAAATTTAGAGCCAATTAGTGGCATAAATATATCTGCGTATACATATGTATGTTTCTATACGTAATTGCTATTATTCGATATAACTTGTATGTATGTAGGAATGGAAGCAGAGCTTACAAAAACTAAAACACACATATAATTACTTCAATGAATTTCGTCTCTAACTGATGTCATATGGCGAAAAACTATATAGTTCAAGTTCAACCTATCCTCAACTCGAATCTATTGATTTTTTGTTTACAAATTCTGGTACATATATTTTTGGAAAAAGAAAAAAGCGGCTGATCTTTCGAAATAAGACCTTGATTTATTGTTACAATGTATAAATATATAATATATATTACGAGATAGTTGTGAGTCTACCTTGGTATATTTCGCGACTTTGCGAGCAATAATTATATTAAGCAAAAATAAGTCATAAATTCAGTCATTTGAACAGAGACTTATTTCCCCAAATGGGGCTCCACACAGCATGGGTCATTTTAGACTGAGGGACCACGGATTTTCCAAATCCTATAAAACTGAAACTAATCTAGATAATCGAGTGAGAAGTGGTGTCTTTTCAGCAAAATTAGATATCAAATTTGCCTTCCATTTCCAAGATCACTACAGGGTCTTCCAAGCGGAGACCGTACCAATCAAGGACAGTAGAACATCTTCTTGAATTGAATGCAAGACTACAGTTAGTACAGAAAAGGAATGACAGTTTTCGGTCGAGAACTTTTGAACGACGCTTCAGAGCTTCTAAAAATATAACTTTTTCCACTGATAAACTTCATCAGAAGCAAGGTGCTTCAGAGAGAAGACGATAGAGTAAGGGAATATTAGTCCCGGTGGTATCACAACTTAGCATATAGTTTTCTGCTTTTGAAACCCCGTATACGAGTTTAAAATAGAATCAAAAAAATTAGTTGATCTATCTTAGTTTCGCCATTATGGTGTTGAATTCGGTTTAGACGGTAGCTACCACGCCCACTTTCCAAACACGATGTTCTTCAAAAAACCTGTCAGAATAACAAATAATAAACAAATAAGGTAGAGCTTAGCTCGGGTATAACCGATCATTTCATACAAGGATTAAAGCCAGGGAAGTACCTACAGGTGAACAAGGCTTGTTAGTTATATGGGCTCTGGGGCGAGTCTTCACCCGTTTTTATATAAGTATATAATTATAAGAAAAATACACTCTCTCAAATTCATTAAGTATTAGTGGTATAAAGTCACTCGGCGGTTCGAAAATCTTTATATTAGGTACATAGGTGCTAAGGGAAGTATTAACCCGATTCAACCAATTTTTAAGACACAGATATACTACTATCAGGAAAAGATTCTCTCTGAATTTCAATTATATAGTATATGCCATATTGACCGATATTTTCGGTAAAAAGTCAAGTTTGGTTAAATTTAGGCAATTCGTAGTCATACTGTGGTGGAGCTGCCTTAGCAGTTTTTAACAGTGCCGTTATATGGGGAGTGAGCCGGTCATCCGATTTCATCCATTTTCACACTGTCCTTGGCTGTTCCTATAATATTTACGCTAGTTGAGTGGTTTCGGAGACATGCACATTAAATTTATTAATTAAAAAAAATGAGGACGCCTTGCCAAGCGTTCGCATGTGTTAAGTTAGAGTTCTATACCTTAATTCATTTATGGTACTTTATACGTTTCGGTTAATCGGCAGTGGTCCGATTACGCCGTTCTACGAACTCGATCTTGTTTTGCTTCGAATATTCGGTTAAATGAGTAACTAAAATATTCTCTAAAATTAGCTTTATGGATAGAACGGTACACTATTGTTCTTTCTCATTATAGTAGTAAATGTTTGTTAAAGGCATGTTCTAGAATGGTTTTAAATTACATGCTTTAAGATTGGTCGAACTTTATTTAAGTGCCAAAATTATTAAATTTTAATTTCTTTTGTAGTATACTCCTTAAACTGGATCCGTATAAAGCCTTCATAAAATAATCCAAAATCCATTTAACTAAAATTAAGTAAAATACATATATTAATTTTAACAGACAAGTTGTAGATTGGCTCAACATTTTCGTTAATTAAAGTGAATTACATTTCATGACCCACAACACTTTGTAATTGTAATTGACCGGTAGTCATCTATGGCCATTAAACTGAATGCTTAAATTGATGACAAGATAATCGCGAACATTCAAATAAATGAATACCTTTACCACAAATGTTTACACACAGCACACATAACGGAAGTGTTCAAGCTCATTACATTTGTATACAACTCGCAAGAGTCCGACTACTGGCATACTTATTACCCACTCGTAAAAATTAATAAATGTTATTTACATTCGAACCCAAAGCAACAACAAAGCATAAAACGGCGGCATTAAAGTCACTTCAGAACATAATCTCGTGATATTTCATTATCCATGAACTTTATGTTATCCACAATACACAATACACAGTGAATGTGCGCAGGCGCACTTCTCTGTCGCACCGTTGGTCATTTAAGTGTGAAATGAATTGAGTGGTTAGGTAAGTATGTATGTTTGGAGTGTACGTGTAGAGGCGGGTGTGCCGCGTTGTTTTGTTTATAAACACGAAGCAAATTACATTTAAGTCTTTAAGACCCGACCTTTTGTGAACTTTGTTGCTATATGCAACTTTTGACGTATTTTACGAACAAATCAACTTACAACCACACATGCAATTGTATACATATGAATATAATGTATAGTATATATAAAATATTGCTATTAGTTTTTTATATTAATGCATATGCGTACGTTAACGTGAGCACATTTGTGATATTAGTATATGTATTGATACATGCATACTTACAGATTTGAATTCGAACTTCAATTTAAATCATTCATTGCCAAGGTTTTCAAGTTATTAACCTAACAATGAACTAATGTGCTTGTATTCACGTATGCAAATTGTTAACATTTTCTATGGTGTTGAAAGTAAAATAATTTTTTCTAAATTCTTACACTGTAAGAACTGGCTGATGGCATTATAGACAAATTATATGTTTGAGTATTTTAAACTCGCCAGAGCTACTGAAAAATTATAAAATTATACCTAATATATTTAATAACTATGATTTTGCCATATATTTTTAACTGAATATATTATATATAACCTTGTATGTAGATATGGCAATAAAATTGATACCCGAGCATCTGTCTGGTCTTCCGTTCTTTCGTCTGTTCCCTGTGCAAGTAATAACCGATTTCTTTGGTATCCTGAGAAAGCTGGGAGTGTAATTTTTTTGTGTAAATATGATTGAGTATGGGAAATGTATGTAATCGGTTGTTAGCTTCATCTAGTCCTCATATACTGAATACAATTATTTTAGTGCGAGATATATCTATGAAATTAAGCGACAAGTTATTACTTAGATGTGTGCGAATCGGTCTCAAACTAGTGTGCTAAAGGTTCAAGGAGGAATCTCTCTCAATAATAGTCAGATATAAGTACAAACGGTTTTTATTCCCACAGATTGCGAGATATTTGACTGAACCTCACTAATACTATATCAAATTCTGGCCCCTTCTCAGAAACGGCTGTTAACCACGCTCAGCCCCATATAATGGTTATGTTGAAAACTATTAATAGTGTGAGTACACGTTAGCAGCATTAAATACGATACAGAAACTACTCCCCTAAGTAAATCCATAATATTTTTCTCATATCCTTATGTTGCAGGATGCAAATGCGCACATTGGGCCGAAAACCATGCCTACCATTTGAAACACTTGAAAATAATTATCTTTGAGCCCTACAAATTACGACAATACAAAATTTTTAGATGTACTCGAACTTATCGTTTACTTATTTTTTTTAGAACATAATTAACATTTAAACTTCAAAAACCGCAAAAATTATTGCTAAGCTGTCAGTGTTTTGCCGGATGCAAACCTAGTTCTGTTTTCGTTATGTAAATAAATGTGGCTGTGGCATGAATACCGGTTACTGCACGGTTGTTGTCTGTATATCTTAAGGTAAACAAAATTGTAACGAGATTAGAACAGCTACTGAATATTATCATTCTTGATTTTTATACTCTTGCAACATAT